ATAAAACACTATATCCCTCTGGTCTCCTGTATCTTCAACTTCTCCCTTTCTAATGAATTCTTCTTCCTAATAGTATTCATTTTGTATTATTTCACATTGTAAAAACAAACAAACATCTTCCCTTAAGCTCTCTGTTCCAGCTCTCACCAAATCTATTTCCTTTCAGAGCCAGGCTTCTCCAAAGAATTATCTACACATGGTGTCTTTTCTTCTTCACCTTTTATTCATTTCTTTTTTTTTTTAGTTTGTTTTATTTTTTTATTGCAGTAACATTGGTTTATAACATTGTATAAATTTCAGGTGTACATCATTATACTTCTATTTCTGCATAGATTACATCATGTTCACCACCCAAATACTAATTACAACCCATCACCACACACATGTGCCTAATCATCCCTTTCGCCCTCCTCCCTATCCCTTCCCCCTCTGGTAACCACCAATCCAATCTCTGTCTCTATGTGATTGTTTGTTGTTGTTATTATCTACTACTTACTGAGTGAGATCATATGGTATTTGACCTTCTCCCTCTGACTTATATCACTTTGCGTAATACCTTCAATGCCCATCCATGTTGTCACAAATGGCTGGATTTCATCGTTTCTTATGGCTGAGTAGCATTCCATTGTGTGTATATACCACAGCTTCTTTATCCATTCGTCCCTTGATGGGCACTTAGGTTGCTTCCAAGTCTTGGCTATTGTGAATAATGCTGCATTGAGCACAGGGTGCATGTATCTTTATGTATGCATGTTTTCATTTTCTTTGGATAAACACCCAATAGTGGAATAGCTGGATCGTATGGTAGTTCTATTCTTAATTTTTTGAGGAATCTCCATACTGTTTTCCATAATGGCTGCACCAGTTTGCACTCCCACCAGCAGTGTATGAGAGTTCCCTTCTCTCCACATCCTCTCCAACACTTGTTGTTTCCTATCTTGTTAATTATTGCCATTCTGACGGGTGTGAGATGATATCTCACTGTAGTTTTCATTTGCATTTCCCTGATAGTTAATGATGTTGAACATCTTTTCATGTGCCTGTTGGCCATCTGTATACCTTCTTTGGAGAAATTTCTGTTCAGGTATTTTGCCCATTTTTTAATTGGTTTGTTAGTTTTTTTGTTATTGAGATGTATGAGTTCTTTATATATTTTGGAGATTAACCCCTTGTCAGATATATGGTTTGCAAATATCTTCTCCCAATTGCTAGGCTGTCTTTTCCTTTTGTTGATGGTTTCCTTTGCTGTGCAGAAGCTTTTCAGCTTGATGTAGTCCCATTTGTTTATTTTTTCTATTGTTTCCCTTGCCCAGTCAGACATGGTACTTGAAAATATGTCGTTAAGACCAATGCCGAAGAGCGTACTGCCTACGTTTTCTTCTAGAAGTTTCATGGTTTCAGGTCTTACATTCAAGTCTTTAATCCATTTTGAGTTAATTTTTGTGTATGGTGTAATATAATGGTCTACTTTCATTCTTTTGCTTGTGGCTGTCCAGTTTTCCCAACACCATTTATTGAAGAGACTTTCCTTTCTCCATTGTATGGTTTTGGCTCCCTTGTCAAAAATTAGCTGTCCACAGATGTGTGGGTTTATTTCTGGGCTCTCAATTCTGTTCCACTGATCTGTGTGTCTGTTTTTGTGCCACTACCGTGTTGTTTTGGTTACTATAGCTTTGTAGTATATTTTGAAATCAGGAAGTGTGATACCTCCAGCTTCGTTCTTTATTCATTTCTTTATCTCACTCCAGTATGGCTCCTGCACCCATCACACTACCAAAAATTCTTTTAGTGAGGTCATCAATGTCCTCCGTGTTATCAAATACAATGGACTCTTCTCTGTCCTCAGCTTGCTCCTCCTCTCAGCAGTCTTCAGTGTAGTTTACCAGACTTTCCTCCTTAAAATGCTTTCTTCTCTCTACTTGCATGAGCTTACACACTTAGAGTTTTCCCTCCTACCTCTCTATCTCCTCCTCAGTCTTATTTGCTAGCTATTCTTCCTCTACACGACCTCCAAACGATGAAATTCCCGGGCTCCATTCTGGGCTTTCTTCTCCCTCTAAACTGTTTCTCTACATGATTTCACGCATTTCCATGCTTTTAAGTGCCGTCTATGTGCCAATGGCTTCTAAATTCATATTTCTAGCCCACATATCTCTTCCGAGTTTCGGACCAATATATTTAACTACCTACTTAACATCCACTGCTATATCAGAATACTCTCACACAAAATTGATCTCATCATCTCTCTTCTTTCCCAAACCTGGCCCTGTTGCAGGGTTCTCCCATCCCAGTGAGTGGCACAAGCACGTATTCAATTCATAAACCAGTAACCTGAAAGCTATTATTGATGCCTCCCTCTATAATCCATCACCAAACCCTATCATTTCTACCTCTGAATATATTCAGTTAAATTCATTTCTCCCCATCTTTGCCACTACTCTCCTAGTCCACACTACCATCATCTCTCACTGGTAACATTGTAATAGTGTTCTAACTGGTTTCTCAATGTCTGTTAACCCTCCAGCCCCATTAAAAATCATTCTCCATGTAACAGCCAGAGTGATCTTAAAACACGAAATGGATCATGTCACTCCACTAAAAACCATTCAAAGAGTTCTAATCCCATTTACTATGAGATCCAGTGAGGCTTTGTATTGTCTGGTTCCTGCCTACCTTCCCAGCCTCATCTATGTTGCTCTCTCCCCAGATCACTACATTGTAAACACACTAGCCTTTTCGCTGTTCCTAAAGCAGTGTAAGGTCTTGACCACTGCAAGACCCTGCTGCTAGCTAGTCCCTCTGTTGAAATCCCCCCCCCCCCACACTTTATAACCTATCTTTGCCTGGCTTATTCCTATTTATCTTTCAGGTCTCTAATCAAATGCCACATCTTCAGAGAACTCTTCTCTGATATTTCCAACCCAATCCAAATTAGGTATCTTTGTTATATGCCTTCCTAGCACCCTGTGCTTTTCTTTCATAGCATTTATCACAGTATTAAATTATGGAGGGATCATCAATATATAGGTGGTACTTGAAGCCAAGGAAATAATAATACTCTAGTAAGGGAGGAAGATATATAACCATTCAGCTATGCACTCAACAAGTATTCGTTGAATGTCTCCTATGCAAAGCATTCTTCTAGGCATTGAAGATGCAGTGGCAAACCACCAGATAATGTAATTACTGCTTAAACCTAGGTCCACAAGACTCCCATGGAGACGCAGGAGAGTATCACTTCACTCAATGTGTTGGATGGGAGAAAACAGTCAGGTAAGGCTTCTTGGTGAGGATGGTGATGGATCCAAATATTAAAGGATGAAGGGGCATTAGCCAGGTGAAAAACAAATATGGGCAGGATTTTCCAGGCAAAGGGCATGAGTAAGGATGCACAAGTGTGATATGATAAATTGTGAGATGGACCCTGGTGGGAGATGAGATTGGGGAAGGAGGCATGAGCAGGGTCATGGAAGACCTTGAATCCATGCTGAGGAGCGTGGATTTTATCCTATGAAAACAGGTATCAAATGTCTGCTGTGTGCAGTGCATTATGCTGGGTACTTGAGGGTATGGCTAGAAATGACTTTTTGTCTCTGTTCTTGAAGGATTTATAATCTCACTGGAAAGACAGGGCACATACAAAAAATGTGAAGAGCAGTACATGCTACTTGTCAAATGAAAGAGAATAAAGAACTTCTCAGGGGAAGAAATGACAGGAACAGGACAGTGAGGGAGAGTTCCAAGAGAAGGTAGTACTTGAATACGGTCTTAAAGAAAAAAATTGGGTGGAGTTAGCTAAGCAAGGGACATTATGAGTATTTGTGTTTGTTCATATGTGCTGCTAAAAGCTTTGTTATGTCTTTACATCAGGTTGTTTCATATTACTTATATAATTACTCTTAACATTAAGGTAAATAAGAATATTGGGATTTTACGTGCAGAGAGGCTCTTTATAGGCAGCACTTTCAAGGACTACATAGCCTACAAACAATGTAAGAATACAAATTCTGAGCAATTTGAACACCAAGGCCACCAGACTGTAATATTTTTGAGGTCAAAAGCTGTATCTACATTGTTCACTGCTCTATTCCTAGCACCTAGCACAATGTCTGGATATTTGGCTCTCAATAAATATTTTTGATTGAATAAATGAGTTTATGTATTGTCTCCCTTATCAGATCAGAATCTTTTTGCTTCCCCTCTCTCTTGAAATGTAGCTTAAATATGCCAGTTGATAATGTTAAGTAGTTGGTAACAGATACAAAAATAAGAAACAAAATCACAAGTGAGGCCAGCAAGGCAAACTCAGGCACACAGCAGAAGGAGGCTCTGGGAGGAGAACAGAAAGAAAGAAATGAAAACACACTGGGTAGCTGTAAATGTTAGAGAAAACTCAACTTAGAAAAGAGTGCCTTGAGGCAATCCACATATCTAACAAATTGCTGTAAGTGCTTAATGCACATTTCTCCAAAACTAGTCTTCTAGTGGGTTTCCACATATTTTATTAGATTCTACCTTTATCTTTTTAAATCCCAAGCCAAGTAGAGGTAGAGTATTATTATTAGCCATCTAACACAGTCAGCCTCACAGCTAGAACTCTAGCCTGAGTGCTGCAGCCAATAAACATGGCCCCTTCATTTAGGGAACTCCTCCATTCTTATGGGGCTAGCACAGAGCTTTTGGGGAGATTATATGCAGCAACTATTTATTATCTATCCCAGAATATTTCTCCTTCCATCAACTAGGAAGTGCTCCTCCTCTCTCACAGTGTAAATATGCTCAAGGAAAACTAGATCATTTCAAGGAGACCAAGACAGATCTGCTAACTCTTACCCCAAATCAGCTAGCTGATTTGAGAATTAACTAATATTTTAGGTAATAAAAATTGCAATCTAGCCTATGTTTTCCTAATCAGACTGAGAGTTCCCTGTGGATGGGGACAGTGCCTTGACCTTCAGACTGCCATCATTTTTGTTGATCAAATGGAGTTCATTGTAGGATCAAATCCTCAGCTTCTTCAGGGCCTCCTTGACATCTTTATTTTTGAGGCTGTAGATAAGGGGGTTACACATGGGAGTGACAACAGTATAGAGCAAGGAGAAGATTTTGTTGAGAACTGGCACCTCACCAGCAAAGGGCACAGCATAGACCAGGATCAAGGTCCCATAAAACAAGGTCACAACCACCAGATGAGAGGAACAAGTGGAGAATACCTTCTGTCTACCAGTCATGGAAGGTATACGCAAGACCGTGGAAAGAATCCTCCAGTAGGAGGCTAGGGTTAATCCAAAGGGGGCCAGAGTCACCAGCGCTGTTAGACTTACGCAGACCAGGTTGACCAGATGGGGATCTGAGCAGGAGAGCTTCTGCAGAGGTTTCAAGTCACAGAAGAAGTGGTCAATCTCATTGCCACCACAGAAGGTGAAACTGGATACCATAGCAACCTGGAATGCAGCTGCCACTGTGAAGCCGCTAACCCATGAACCAATTACTAGCCCCACACATATAGTCCCATGCATTAGTGTTGGATAGTGCAAGGGCCGGCAGACAGCCAAGTACCGGTCATATGACATCACTGCCAGAAGATAGCATTCAGTACTGCCCAGGGCTCCAAAGAAGTAGAGCTGAATAATACAAGCTACCATGGAGATCACTCTGTTCTCTCTCAACAAGTCCACCAACATCCTGGGCACAACATTGGATGTATAACAGACCTCCAGGCATGAGAGGTTTGCCAGAAAGAAGTACATTGGTGTCTGGAGTCCCCGCTGAGTGCTCACCAGGACCATGAGGAGGAAATTTCCAGAAATGGTGGCTAGGTAGACAATGCCAAATACCAAGAAAAGCAAGGGACCCAATTCTTTGAGGTCTCCAAACCCCAGTATGATAAACTCAGTCACCATCATAGTGGTATTTCTTGGTCCCATGTAAGTCAGAAGTTCCTGGGAAAGTGTCAGTTTCTCCATACTGTTATGTCAGATTACCCTACCACTTAGATTTCCTACATAGTCCAATTCTATCAGTGGTTAGAGCTCTGCACTGATGAGGACATTTCTTGGGGATTGGTCCTCATTGTAGCCAGTTAAATTTTCTCTCAGAAAAACTGTTTTATAGAAATCAGCTGAATCTATCATCTGGTCCGGCTGTGGAGTAGTGATGAGAAGACTAAATGGGAGATGAATGGTTCAGTGACAATCTTTTCCATCCCCAAAGGAACAATCCAGAGTACAATTGTACTTAGTAAGTCAAGACCCTCAAATTCACATTCAAAGCAGACACATAGAGCCCATGCTTGGCATCCTTTTTGCCATTTTGGACAGAAGAAATTCCCAAGGAAAATCCTAACCAAATGTTGACCATTCAAAGAAATGTCAGGCCAGATAGCAAATCATATTTATAACCTTCCTTATCAGAGCATGAAATGGGAACTGAAATGCCAGGACTGAAGTAGAGAATCATTCCATTGATGTTACTGGGCCATCCATGCTTGTTTGATAGTGACATCCCTGAGACAGCAGAATGGTAGTTGCTGGAGAGAGAGTAGATTCTGGAAAACCAGGTATACAACCTAAAACAGAATAAGGATTTCTTATTTTTAAATCTTACCTTATAAAAGCCTGGATTTTAGGCTTCTGGGGAGAAAGCCCAGCAGCTGACATCTGAAACTGCTGGTTAGACTCACGTACACGTATCTGAACACACACACACACACACACACACACACATCTCATCTGGATCTGCAGAGTCAAGTATAGACAGTCCTACCATCTTTGCCATTACTTTTTAAATTTGGTTTTCCCAGAGCAGTCTTCTCAAAGTGATATATTTGCTCCATAAAACTTTGCCTGTAATTCAGATATGCTGACATTAGGGAGGTAGTGGCGATGGTTAGATCACAAAATCCAAATAACCGGGCTTTGTGTATACATCACGGGCAGTGGAAGAGAAACTAGCCTGTTTTCTCATTCAATTTTTTTATTGGTCTGTTTTGTGAAGTAGTGTAGTATAATGATTAAACACATGCCCTCTAGTGCCAGGCTGCCCAGAATCAACTCCCAGCCTCTCCAGTTAGCGGCTGTGTGACCTTAGGCAAGTTACTTAAGCTCTCTGGGCCTGTTTTCTCATCTGAAAAATGAGGACAATAGCAGCTGTTCACAGTGTTGTTTTGAAGAGCAAATACATGTAAAGTAATTAAAACAGTGCCTGACACATAGTAAGCACTAAATAAACATTAAATATTTTTCCTTACAAAATAAAATTCTCTGTAAAAACAGCCACACAGAAGCATTAACCAACATTACTAATTACTAAAATAAGATAAAGCAATATAAATGCATGGGAGAAAAATTGTACATCCCTCATTACTTCTTAACTGTTGCCTATCACCACTTAATTTAACTTAAAGATAATTTAAGATAACACTAGTATCTATCTATAGAGTTATGTAAGGATTAGATGAGATCATGAATATACAGTGCCTGCCATATAGAAAATGCTCAATAAATCACGGCTAATAATAGTACTAACAACAATTTACCTGAATTCATCATATGAGCTTGAGCTGATTCAAACACAGTTCTGTGTGACTCCAACATTCACCATCTTTCCACCACACAAACTGACTCACTGCCTGCTAATTTTTACGTTATGTGTGTATGCGTTCATCTTTGTCTATATGCAAAGGGTGTTTAGAATTCTGTCTGAAAGGATTAAAGGCAAACTCTTCACCATAATCTTATACCTTTAAGCCAGGTTTCTTCGTACACTTCTACTCTGCACCAGGTACCCACCACACACAAGCCAGGGGCATCCACACTGCTCTCTTAATTCTCTTGGCTCCAGTTCCTGCCCAGCTCCTGACCATTCATTCTGCCTCTTTTGAGGGGAAACGAGGTATTTTTGGGGTCTTAGCCCAGACTCTTCCTCTTCCTCAAGAGCTATGGCTCAGATTCATTCTCCTTGGTTACCCAATATTGAGACCATCCTTAACCATTTTTAAAAAATATGAATCCCTACCCCAACTCTGTCACTGCCTTCCCTTCTTTCCTGGTTTATTTTTTATTTGTAGCACCTAACACCTCTAACATATATTTTACTTAATTCCCTTCTAATAGTCTGTCTCCTTTCATGTAGGCTTCACAAGATCATGGATTTCCTCTCTTTGATTCACTACTGAATCCCCAACACCTAGAACATTGCCTGACACAGAGTAAATACAATAAATATTTGCTGAATGAATTCATGAAACAGAATGACATAGTGAACAGTATTTTTGCCTTTTGAGCCAAACAGAGCCATGTTCAGATCTGAGCTCTGCCACTTATTAGTATATCACCTTGGGCCATTCATTTGACCTCTATGTGTTTCCATTTCCTCATCTGTTAACTAAGAATTGTGGCAGAGCCTGTTGGGGGCCTCCAAATATCCATTCTCTCCTTCTTCTAGAGCAGGGGTTGGCAAACTTTTTCTTAAAGGCCAGAGATTTTAGGCTTTGCAGTCCATCCAGTCTTTGTCACAGCTATTGAACAAGGCCATTGTAATGAGAAAACAGCGTAGATGATACAAAAATGAAAGGGAGTGACTGTGTTGCAATAAAACTTTATTTCCCAAAAAAAAAGTCGTTGGGTCTCAGGCTGTAGTTTGCCAACCCCTGTAGCTGGATACATGATACACGACTGCCCAGCTAAAGTCCACATTTCCTTTGCAGCTGGGTCAAAACCAATAGAGTGTGAACTGAATGATGTGTATAACTTTTAGATTGTGCTCTTAAAAGAAAAGTACATATCCTCACCTTCCCCTTTTCACTCTTCCCACTGGCTGGAATACAGACCTGATAGCAGAATCAGCAGCTGCCATCTGGGACCATGAGATAGAAGCTGAGTATTGAAGATAACAGAGGGACAGCACAGAAGCAGCCTGGATCCTCAACATGGTACGCCAGAGTAACCCAAAACGTCCTACCTGGCATTTTTGCGGAGATAAATATATTTCTATTTTGTTTAAGTGACAGAAGTTTTTAGTTTTTCTGATAATAACAGCTTAATCCGTACCCTTACTAACAAATGATTATAACTATCTCCTGGGTTATTGTGATTATTCAACAACATAATCCATATAAAGCAGTTAGCACAGTGAATGGCAAAAAGTAAATGGCAGCTATCATCATGATTTCTGTTGTTAGTGACTTCATTCCTCATCTCCGTTCTTCCCCTTCCCCAGCATCTTTGAGCACCTTATCCTAACCTAATTTTGGTTCCCTCAAGACCCAATGCTACATCAGGCCCAACAACCTTTTTTTTTTTAAATAATTTTATTTATTTATTTTTTCCCCCAAAGCCCCAGTAGATAGTTGTACGTCATAGCTGCATTTCCTTCTAGTTGCTGTATGTGGAACACGGCCTTAGCATGGCCGGAGAAGCAGTGCATTCGTGCGCACCTGGGATCCGAACCGGGGCCGCCAGCAGCGGAGCGTGCGCACTTAACCGCTAAGCCACAGAGGCCCAACAACCTTTGATATGGATTCAACAACTCCCTATCCCGATGGGGTCAACAACTCCCCACTCATGTGGGAAGGGAATTTAAATACAAACAACCAGATTTTTTCCCTTTTTCTGAATAAAGCGCAAATAATACATTTGACTGATTTGGGCCTTGTTCTCATTCCTAACAAGCTAGACAAGCAATCTTCAAACTGGGGTATACATAACCCAAGATTAGTGATGCTTAATTGAGGGTGATTTTGCCCCCTACCCCAGACATTTGGCAATATCTGCAGACATTTCTGTTGTCACAACTAGAGAGGGGGGCTACTACTGGTATCTAGTGGGTAGAGTCCAGGGATGCTGCTAAACACCCCACAATGCACAGGACAGACCTCTACAACAAAGAATTGTCTTGCCCCAAATGTTAATGGTGCTGCTGTTGGGGAACCCATCTCTAGAGGTACACAATGACTTCCCAAGGAAGTATGCAGACAGGGAGAGTTTTAAGAGAATTAACTTCCAATTTATATATGGACTGTTTTCTAAAACTGATCTGCTGTAAATGTGCCTGAGGTTGAAGAGTCATTCTGGTTCTCTTTTCTCACCTCTCCTTTCACAATGACCCTTCTCCCACTTTACAAGCGAAAGATGTACCTATTAGGCATCCTGAATCTTACCACGGTTGCAGTCGCTTTCTTCCCTGAGGTCCCAGAGTACAGCCAAGCAGAGTGGATAAAATCTTTAAGTTGGAGTATAGTCCTGGGTTCTAATTAATTCTCTTTCACTTACTAACTGTGTAACATTCATTTCTTTATTTATTTATTTGCTTGCTTGCTTATTTATTTTAACACTTGGGAGACTTCTGGTCACAGGGCTTATTTTTCGTTTAAAATTTCATTGTATATACATATTTTTGATGAGATGTATGATAGGATGATCAAGAGAAGACTTTCAAGTATAAAAATATGCATGGCATTAGGATAAAATTCTATGGGGAAAATGAATGGAAATGTGAGTTCAAAAAGAAAAGGTAATGGTGTTAAATGTCCGACTGTTAGAGAACTTGTTCATTTATATTTTAATGGATGACAGTGGATATCAAAATACTACAGTACTTAGAATCCACTGAAGAAGTCAAAAGAGTGATGCAAGAGTTTAATTTTAAACTGTCAATATTTACAAGGTGACAGAAAGTATACTGTGTTTTCATCTATTTGAACTTACAATGAAAAATTTCTAGACGTCAATTTGAAACTGTGCAAGGGGGCAGAGTATAGTACAAAGTTTAAAGAGCTAGGTTACTGCTGAATCCCCTCTGTGTCCTTTCTTGCTTGATGAAAAAACAGAAAGAAGAAAAAAACCAGTCACATAGAGATGTGATTAAAATGCAGGAGCAAGTCCTACTGCACAAGACCGGTTTTCTCCTGTCCCCACTCACCCTGCCAGCTAGCTTCCAAGTGTTTTTTTCCCCTGTTCAAGAAGTT